ACAACCCGTTGCTGCAGATACACGCTTTACAACATCAGGAAGATACGTCCCCAGCTGACTCAGAAAGCGACTCAGGTTCTGGTCCAGGCTCTCGTCATCTCACGCCTAGACTACTGCAACTCCCTCCTGGCTGGTCTACCTGCATGTGCCATCCGACCTCTGCAGCTCATCCAGAATGCAGCGGCTCGTCTGGTCTTCAACCTTCCTAAATTCTCCCACACCACTCCGCTCCTCCGCTCCCTTCACTGGCTTCCGGTAACTGCTAGAATCCACTTCAAGACACTGGTACTTGCTTACCATGCTGCGAATGGATCTGGCCCTTCCTACATCCAGGACATGGTTAAACCGTACACCCCAGCGCGTGCAGTTCCCATCGGCGAAAACACGTGGGTTTGCTGTCCTGGCTCCAAGATGGTGGAATGAGCTCCCCATTGACATCAGGACGGCAGATAGCTTGCACATCTTCCGGCGCAAACTGAAAACTCATCTCTTTCGACTCCACTTCGAGCGTTAGAACTATTAACGAAGCACTTTTATACTAATAAAGGACTGGCTTACCTAAAGCCAGTTGAGTAGCACTTGAAATGTTTGGCTCTATGAAACCTGATGTACTTATATGATTATGTTTTCTTCAAGGTTGTGTCTTCCTGGTCGAATGTACTTATTGTAAGTCGCTTTGGATAAAAGCGTCAGCTAAATGCAATGTAATGTAATGTAATGTAATATGCTTTCAAGCAAACGATGCTGGTTTAGCGGTATGTTTGATATGTAGAGAGAAGTTGTTAAAGGTGCTGCAGCCTTTACGTATCGAGGAGATAAGTGATTCAACTGGCCAACTGCTGAGGGTTCCTCCAGAATCACAATATCACCACGTGTAGCTGCTTTCAATTAACAATCACTGCAAATCACACATATACCTATCTGCATGCAAAAAGTGCCCAGCAAACCACATGCTCCACTCCACACAGTATGGCCAGGATTGTCACTGAAGAAGGATAAAAAGCTCAGAGACAGTATTAAACCTTGTGGGACAAGGTGGGTCGTTAAAAGGAGGGTGTGTTACGGTTTGGGAAAGGTAGGACCCAAAAGCAGACTACAAAAAAAGGTAAGTTGGTCTAGAAAACAAAAACGAGCTTTTTTGTAAAAGCTGATGGCAAAAACACAAAGGAAGCACAAGGAAGATATAATACAAAAAGCTGACGATGACTGACATGGAGAGTGATGGGAAAAACAAACAATGAACCCGACACCGAACACAGGAAGAGACAAGACTAACTACAGGGAGGGGTAATCACGAGACGAGAAACAGCCGGGCAGGGAAGGAGAAACACAAGGGCAACAGGTGAACACAATCAGACAATCAGACACACCAGGGAAACTAACGACAGGAGGAAAAACACAGGGAGAAGGACCAGACAAGAAACAAGGAGGAACAGAAAAGCAAAATAACCCCACAACTAGACACAACAAAACTCAAACCCTGACGATTTTGGGAGTCAGAGGCCGTCAGAGGCCGTCGGGCATTCGCGGCGCCCTACTCAGGTTGGTGTGTCCCGCACCGTTGTTGCTTTACGGCACATTATCACACCTCCCGCGGCTAATTCAACATGGTGAAGAGTTTCTATTTTATTTTATGTTTACATGTTTTCAAATGTGTGCTCTAAAATGACATTTATAAATGACTATTATCATTATTATAAGCAAGACAATAAATGGCAAAGATATGTAGAAAATAAACGTATTTAAGATACGTTCATAACAAACGTAACGTGGGAGAAAATATGTTTCTAGAAGATATAAATAAACGTATTTGAGGTACGTTCATAAGAAACGTAACGTGGGAGAAAATACGTTTCTAGCTAAACGTAATTGAGAATGCAGTTTTGTTCTGTGGGAACATCATTTTTAGGAGACAGGGTTGAAGATCCGGCTCCCTTCAAGGAGCCATAATTCCCATCACTATCCTGGAGCTTACTGAGCTAACGGAGCTAGCAGAGGGACAGAAAGCTATTAGCAGCACTCACTGCAGAGACCTGTCACTCAAATTGACCACGCCCTAATTTATGCAAAAACTGTAAGACCTAATATAAATAAAAGGGTCGTGTTATAAAACAATTCACTCACCAATTCATAATCATGAAGGTGGAATCTAACTATATCCCGAATATTTTTTATTGCATCCAAGGGTAGAAACATGTTTATTTCTGCTGTAAAGTTGGGCATTTTAACATGGTGGTCTATGGAAATTCCTCCTTTCTGCAGTCATCACCTATCGGCCAATGGATGAACTGCAGTTTGAGGCACTTCCTTATTGGCCTGCCGGCTCTGCCCCAGAGTTTGCCGATTGGTCTAAACTGATAATCATAACACATTTATTTTTAATGAAGCGCTTTTACAGGGTTACAGTAAAGAAACAAGGACACACGTCCCTTTCTAAAAAAAAGGCCAGTTAATCGATTGATCTCAACTATTTTTATAATTGTGTAATTGATATTTATTTAAACGATTCGCTGCTTTTCTCTGCTTATCATTTTACATTGAATAACTTTGGGGAGAAAATAAGCAATTTAAACATGTTATCATTCATTTTACTTCAGATTATTAAACACTGTGAATTATCAACATTTGAAAATGATGAGTTCCAGAGGGAGGGGGCAGCGATGGAGAAGGCTGCCCCCCCCAGGTTTGGTGCATTTCTGGATGTATTGAAGTTCATTTTGGTTCATTGAGGACTTTTGATAATGATGATCCATAGAGAATTCTGTTTCAGTAGTCCAGTGTTTAGGTGAAGAATGGGGGTCTCTGCAGCAGGCTGATGGTCTGAGGGGGGCAGAGTTTCTGAGGGGGGCAATGTTTCTGAGGGGGAAGAAGGGCTACGTGATGATCAAATTTGGGCTTGTTTGTCAAAAATGACTCCAAGGTTGCAGATGTGATGGCAGAGGTGTGCAGTTGTCAAAGGTGAGGTTGAACTCCTGAGTGATGTTGTTGCCGGATATGGGCCGAGGATGATCTTCAGTCTGTGGTAAAAGAGTTTCTGTTGACCTGATGCAACTCGTTTTCATTTTGTCGTGCAGTGGTTGGGTAGCGGCAGAGAAGTGGACAGGAGGTAGGCTAGGGCTTAACAATGTCCTCGGTGTAGGATAGTCCTGGTCCATTTGGGGCACACTGATTTAAGCTGTCACTGGTAGTCAGTGCAGGCCTAGGGTGAGGAGAAGTAGGGTTAAAGAATTTAGGATGAAGAACAGTCGAGCTGCTGCACTCTGGATGAGCTCTGGAGGCCGGAAAATATTCAGATCCTCGAGTGAGGCTACTGCAAAGTGGGCAGAGGTGGAAAGTAACAAAGTTAATGTATACGCAAGTACTTGAGTACATTTTTGAGGTAAATGTACTTTACTTGAATACTTGTATCCTACTTTATATTTCTACTACATTTTAGCAGCAAATATTGTACTTTTTACTCACTACAATGATTTGAAAACATTAGCCTACTAATTTAGTTGCTTTTGCAGGTTTATATTATTAGGACCAAAATCAACTAATAGGTTATGATGTACTGATATCTGGCAGATATCAATGTTATCTTATACTTTAACAGCTAAACATTAAATGATAGACACATGAATACATCACTAATTATAAGCCAGTGGTGTAATATATATTATTCCAAAAATTGCCACTTTGGTTAATGAATACTTTTAGATTTGGTACTTAAGTATATTTTTCTGCAAACACTGTTGTACTTTTAAAGTAACATTTTGAATAAGGGACTTTTAATTGTAACAGAGTAGGCCTATGTCTACACTGCACTATTATTACTTTTACTCAAGTACAAGATGTGAGTATTTATCCCACCTCTGAAAGAGTGTCTGTTGCAATTAGAAAACAGTTGAACATGCATCAACAGTTGAATAGGATTTATGCAGTACAGTTATTTTTTCCAGTAGGCCTATGGGACGAAATTAATAGTTTACCTTTGACACATGTGTTATGAGTAGGCTATTTGCTATTTTTGCAGTAAACACACACATGAATACATTAATTGAAATAATATTATTCCATTCCTGGTCTTACTCGCAACATGTCGAAGAAACGTCGTTCTCTCTCTCTCTGTTCTATGAATTGGCAAGAGTGAAGTTCGTTGAAGTAACAGACGTGTACTTCCGGTTTAGCTTCAAAATAAAGCCCTTCTTTGCAAATCAAGCAACATGTATCAGTCATAAGTACATTTTATTTTTGGACAAAGGCCAGATGCGCTATAGCCAGGTGAGAGTCATTGTGTGGTTTGATTTTATTTAAATGTTATTGTTGAACATGCATTTGGTGTTATACTACAATACTACAGTTGTTTTACTAAATATGATCCTGTTTAACTAAATTAACTTAAACTAATCGTCCCGACACACAGCCTAGCATTGAAGTAGAATACAATTGGTTTTAGTGTAACACATGGAGCTATAATTAGTTGCCTGCTAGGCCTAATGCAACATACTGTCTGTATAGGCTATAGTGAGAAAACACAGGAAAGTAGGAAGGGGCAATATGACCTTTAAATGATATCTTGATGTTTTTAGGCAACATCGTGATATACACTATATATCTTGATATTTTTGAAACAATTTCCATACCCATCACACTTGTAGATGGTTCTAGTCCCTGCAACAAGTCTGCATCACATTATTCTTTTTCATATTAGTTCCATTGGATATTTTTTTTACTTGTGTTAAAAATTGCAGCCACTCATGTTTTTCTATGTGTATGTAGCGATACACAAAGTAAATACCATACCTCACCGCCCACCACTAGCCTATCTGAAAAGGCCTTCCTAATCTTTCCTGGTTTGGACGAAACTGAAGAACTAATCTGGTGGCACGTGATATAATTTTGCGCTTTTTATGAAAATCTGGAAGGAAGTTTAAAAAAACTATAACAGCTTTTATTTTGTAGGGGTTAAATCTCTGGTTTCCGGTGTGATTCGGGCTAACGGTCTAACTCCCCGCGCTTCACGGACCACAGGCTCGCGCCACTTGATGCCCCCACATTCTCACTCACGCACACACACACACTCACGCGTACACATTCCTCCGGTGACTGTGTAGTGGTCGCCTCTCTCAGACACGGACGTGCTTTTGGATGTACGAGCCGGTGCCCGCGTGCAACGATGGTGTGAAGAGGTGCCATATCAAGGTAAGCTTTAAACCTGTATGGTAGGTCCAGGCTCAGCGTGGAGCAATTCAACAGCCTATCCATACTCCTGTTGACGGAATGACTCACACCGGGAATCAAATGTCAATTGATAATGGTGTGCTTTGATGCCTTCATTAACGGCAGCATGCTTCCCGTTAACGGGGCTCTCAGCTGCATTGGCGTTAAAGGAAGCATCAACTGCATTCTTTATGCGTGCCATCCTCGCGCGTGGGGATGTTCACGCTGCATTTGTACATTTCTGCCAATTAAACGTGGCCGTGCTCATTTTCAGAGTGAAACGCCACGTAATGCCGTATAAAAATATATCCATTTTTTTTGTCTATTCTGAAGAAATCTTTAAAGATAAGCTAATTTTTGTTCAATAAAGTTTCTGGATTGATTGACACTGTCACAGACTCACACCTCAATACCACCAAAAGGTTTTTTGTTTTTTTAAATAAATGATATAGTGTTGACAAAAAGCATTTTAAAGCAAGGTGCATTGATCATTGAAGGCGACATTAAGAATATTCCATAACGCAACATACTTGCTTTAGTAGCTTTATAAGTAAATGGTCTAATGAAAGTGACATTCGCTCCATGTCATAAGGACACCCTGACAGGGGGTCCCCGACATGCTGCCATTCCTCCTGGACTGTGGCAGAGTGAAGGCAGCACAGCTGGATGGACGGTTATTATGGAGGAAAGACACTGAATCTCACACGATTGCTATAGAATAATAAGCCTGAGATGACAGGGAGGATGTGCTCTATCTTCCGCCTCACTGAGAACTTGTGAGCTCAGAGCAGAGCGTCAGTTATCGCCTGTGGCTGTGGCTGAGGATGAGAGGACAAGCAGATCCCAGCATGCTTCTAATTCAAGAAGACCAACTGGTGATGTTAAGAGTGTGGGCAGTGTCAGCTCACAGGACTCATATTGGATTATTATAATCCCACTCAATGAGGAAAGGTGAATCAGTACCAGAACATCACCATTTGTTAGCTTTTCTTACAGGATAGGGCTCCTTTATAATGCTCTATAATCTTCTTGGCCTTTTGCATTCAACATGATACAATATTCAGAATATGAATGATTTGATTATTCGCACAGTGGAGAAATGTACATTGTTACAGCAGTAGATATAGAGACGAAAAATAAAAATAACACTCTATTAGATACAAAGGCATGCAGATAGTATTTCAAATATAAATTCAGGGAAAATAAGTAAGTAAGCAGTATTTATAAAAGAACATAAGTGTAACATTGTAGAATACTGTGTGGTAGCAGGTTGATTGCAGTGGTAACAAAAAAGAAACAGATAATATACAGATTCTTGTTAGAATGGACAACCTGAGAAGTGGCAGCCACTATTAATAACAATTTTAGCAGAACATATTGCACAATAGTGTCTTTGTTTGTTATCTTTTTACATTATTGCACGTTGGTGTCATACCCCACTGTCATCTATGTATTCATTTCTATAAAAAGGGATTATAAACGTATTAAGGATCAATTACATTTTGTGTGGTGCTACATTTGATAAAATGGCACAATAGGGTCACAGTAGGGCTGTGACCCTATTTTATAAAATCGTATTTTAATCTCGATTACGATTTTGGCTTGCAACGATTACGAAAACAGCGTAATGAAATAAAACGATTATTTTGCTGCATTTCCTTTCGCAATGTTGCTCTCAATTTGTCTTGCGTTATACATCCTGCCCGCGCTTTCGCCCCTCCCTAAAAGCCCTCTCGGCCAGGTTGTGTTGTGACTTGCAGTCTGTTTAATAAATCCATATAAACACGTTACAAGGGAAGCTTTAGTTGCCATGTCTTATTGTCTTTAGTCTCCGGTCCCCATGCTCCGGTCTCTAGTGTACATGCCCCTTTCACACCAATGCGGTTCCCGTTCTAGCTCCGTGCTTGCGCTCTTCTGGTTCGGAACCAGGTTTTCTTTTCAGCCCCCGCTCTGTTCACACCGCCCAGAGCCCGACTGGTGCTGCCGCGGCTGCGTCATGACGTCACCGTTTACGTCACAGATTTTCTCGCCAACAACAACAACAATGGGGAACTGCGTCGGGTCGATGATCGTGTTCCTTAATCATACGAAGCCAGATTAAATTAAATAACTACTTCTCAACTACAGTTCATTGTTTATTAATGTGTTTCAGCTGCAGTGCTACCCGCTGTTTGGCATTACAACGCTGTTATGAAAGTTTCTCTGGTATAAAATGGGTGATGTTAGCATAGCAACCGAAGCTAAACTGACTATCTTGACTACTTGTTGCTATCCTATTGTGGCATAAGCCGTTTTCTCCAGGCACATTTTACCGGCGTATTTTTTATTATGATTCTACTTGTGATAGTCGGACACGACAACCTGTGCAGCCCATGTATTGATTCCATCCGATAGCTGCTATAATACAAAACAAAACGTCTGCCTGTTCTCCACTAGGGATGGGAACGATTAATTGAATATTTATATTTTTTTGGAGGGGTGCCTGTAGGAGCCAAAATGCTTGTGTTAGCCTTACTTATTATTTGTATTATTATCTTGTATTTCTGTTTGCATCGCGTTTAATTCTTGTTGTTTATCACTTCCGCCAATGGTCACGTGGGTGTGGTTTATTGGTATTTAGGTCACCTGTTGGATGCCGGTCTGGAGGATATGATACGAAGAGGGTGAATGGCGCTCTGATACTTTCTGTTGACCGTCAGGTCTGGAGTTGTATATTGTTTGTTTTCGTCTTTATTAAACACCATGGACTACAAATGACTACGGACTCTTACATGGAACGCCTCACAGCAAAGAGCATTTTTTAGCCTCTCAGCAGCTAACTCATAGGGAGTTATATCTCTCACAGGCTCCGCCCTCTACTGGACTCTATGGGTACTACCTTATCATGCAAGCATTCACCTACTGAGATTTCTATGGACGTAGCCGGCCCCGGGGCGGGCCTACCTGAATGCGTGCGCATCTCACTTCCGTATAAAAGGAGGCCTCGCCTCCTGACCACCATCCTTTACTCTTCAGCGAGCGGAGGTGATAGCCTAGCACTGAGTCCGAGACGTATTTTTTGAGAGAAAGAAAGAAAGATAGCGTGCGCCGACCCCCACCACCTCTGCTTCGAGTGTTTGGGGGACCAGGATATGGCCGAGGCGGTGCCATTCCTTCCGAGTCCGGCGTCCATGGAAGTCCACCGCCCAGGGCTGTACTCTCCCTGGATGATGATCATGGCGGCGGGTGTGTGGGCTACTCGCTCATTGCTAGAGATGCCCCCGCCTCACCAGGTCAGAGCGATTATTGGGCCGCAAGGCCAAATAAGTATCTTGGTCCACGAGCCTTGCCCCAGGCCCGGTTCCCCCGGGGACCTGTGCTCGGTGGCTTCACATGATATAGGGTTGACCCTACTTCATCACAGGCCGCCGCCGCTGCCTGCCTTGTGATGTTCCTGGGATATCACGTCGCATGGCATTTTTCCAAAGAGGACTGTGTTGATCTCCTGGGAGCCCCCGTCTTTACGGAAGGGCTTTATGGATCGATCTCCTTGCTCACGGGATAAGGAGTAATCGCAGCGTGGCTGATTCTTGCCCATCCCCAGCGGAAGAAACACTGTCCTACACTCCCCGCCCCCGCTGTAAACCCCAGTATAGGGAGCCAGCAGGTGGGTGTGTGCACGTGAGTGGAATAAACTGTGTGCTGTTAAAGCACTGTGCGGGTTCAAGAGACGCTATTGCCGGCGTGCTGTTGTCCCACCGTTTCGTCTCATTCTCCCTCTCCTGGGGAGAGTGAGGCGAGAACGTTTGGCAGTCATCCTGGTAGCACCGGATCGCGTCGGGGCTCCGTGGTACTCAGAAATGACGCAGATGAAGGTGGGCCAGCCCTGGGCGATTCCCCAGTTCTGGGGGGCGATGTCTCAAGAGGCAGGTGCAATCGGAGCGTTACTCACTCTGGGCCGTCCTCTCCAGGCTTGGCTCCTGAGAGGGACAGGCTGAGACAGGGTGGATTGTCTGACAGTGTTATTCAGTCTATCCAGGCAGCTAGAGCTGGATCCACCACAGCCTGTTACAGGCCGAAGTGGCTGGGATTCCAGCGACGGTGTGAGGAGCGGAGAATAGAGCCCCTATCTTGTGAGTTAGGCTCTGTTTTGTCCTTCTTACAGTTATTGGTGGACAGAGGACTAGCTCATTCTACTATAAAAGTGTATGCAGCAGCCATCTCGTCCTGTCATGAGGGATTCAACGGCAGGTCAGCCTTTTCTCAACCACTGATGTTGCGGTTTTTACAGTGGGACCTGCCGCTGGTGCTCGAGGCTTTGGTCACAGAACCATTTGAGCCTCTGGAGCTCTCCTCCCTGAAAGCACTGTCGTGGAAGATAGCATTGCTACTTGCCTTAACGTCAGCCAAAAGAGTGTCCGAGTTAACCGCTCTGTCGGTGCACCCGAGCTGTTGACTGATTCGGGGTGACCGGAGCGGCGCGACACTCAGACCGAACCCCTCCTCTGTGCCTAAGAGCCTAAGGAGTCTCAGGTCGAGGGTTATTCAGTTGGGGGGATTTAGTCTTCCACCCCATGGTGGGGCCAGGGAAGCTAAATTACACCTCCTCTGCCCGGTGCGCGCGTTAGCATGTTATGTAGAGCACACAGCTACCCTGAGACGCACTGAACAGTTGTTTGTGTGCTTCGGGGGCGGGGTGACTGGAAAAGCTCTGTCCAAGAAACGCCTGGCAGGCTGGCTCTGCGAAGGCATTGCACATGCCTACAGACAGGCAGGGAGAGCCTGTCCCACGGGGGTCCGTGCGCACTCCACACGAGCTGTGGCTGCATCAACAGCCTTATTCAACGGTGCGAGTGTGGAGGATATATGCACGGCGGCACCTTCGTCAACGCCAGGCCCCTTCATAAAGTGTTATCTCTTGGACATGTCTGGCTCTTTCTCAGCGTCTGTGCTTGCTGGGGCAACACAGGACTTGTGGGTAGGGGGGGGGGCTGTTGGTCAGT